AATTTGATCAGCAGACTGTTCACCCCTTCTTCCATGTCACTGATGAAAAGATTAAACAGGATCGGCCCCAGGACAGAGCCCTGGGGGACCCCGCTTGTCACTGGCCGCCGGGGACAAGATGATTGGCTGGCCACTGGGGAGCATGAGCCACGTCTAGATGGCCGGGGCCCCACGGCATGGTTGGCGGGCTGCAGCTGGTCACGGAGAGGCTGCGCACCGCTGAAGACACCTTGGGCGGGCCTGGCTTTCTTGCGGGGCAGGGCCACGCCTCAGTGGGGCTGGATTATCGTGCAGGCTGAGAAGGAGTGGGTCGGGGGCCCCTGAGCTTCACAACGTCTTGCGGGTGCCGTCTGCTCATTTCCCCCTTTCAAGTTGTCAGTTAAAGAGGCTCAGGCAGCACAAAGCCTTTGGTTTTCTGGAGCAGTCGAACGCCACTCTGGAGGAAATCGGCAGTTCGGATAGGCCGCATGCGTGCTTCGATTTGCCGCGCAAATGCAAACATGCGTCTCGGGTGGTCCATTAAGACTCTGAGCGGTGGTTCCGAACGGTGGTGAAGGGATGTGGGAGAGCCGCTGAGAGGGACCTCCGGACTGCACCACCCAGTCTCTCGCGCCCCCGGCCCAGCCTGGGTGCCTTCCGGTGCCCCACGCCCTTTCTAATGCCCCGATGCCTTGAGCTCAGGCCAGCTTCTTGCCCAGCGAGGTCAGAAGGTACCAAGATGACTTCTCTTATTCAGAAAATCAGTTGCCTTCTCAAGGGCAAGGGAGTCCAGATGAGGATCCAGCTCCGAAGGATGGCCTCTGCCTCTTGCCTTGGACGTCAGTGTTGTTTTTGCCGGCAGCTGAGCTGGGGGCCACACGGGCTGCCAGCCAACGCCCTTCCGGCAGTCACGGCCTTGGCAGGTTGTCCACAAACGGCAAACACACACTGGTGTTGGGGGGCCACGAGACCCTTTGGTTTGTTTTAGCTACTGCTGTGTCCCCTTCCCCTCAACTGGCCCTCCAGATGCGCTGGACTACAACTCCCATCATCCCCAGCTACGCCGCAGCAGGGAAGGCCAGTCTGCATGGACTGGCGACAGCGGTCTTTGGTGTTCTGGGAGGAGAGCCCTCCCACTGGACCCTGGCCCTCCGACAGCTTGCCTCGCAGCCCTTTCCTCCCCTTCACGCGTCCACGTGCCCCGGCCCACCTCACTGGCCACGAGGCTGGTGGCATTGGCCGCCTTTCCTCCCCTGGCCCAAAAGCGGGGGCCTCTCGGCAAAACATGCGGTTGGCGGGTTGCTGGGCCGCATTTCTCATCCAGCCGACAGCTGGGGGTCTGGGTAGATGAGAGACGGTGGCAGGCCCAAATGCTGGGCAGAGAGAAAATACGCAGCGCCATCCATGCCCAAGGGAATCCGATGCAGGCGGCCCAGAAAGCCATGAAAGAGACTGAGATCCCGGGCCGGGGGAAAGAAGGACTGACTGCCCTGAAACTGCAACAGGGCAGGTGCCCGCCAAACCTCCTCGGGAAGGCCGGTCCCCGAGCGGGGTGCCACCACGGAGCGGGCCCTCCTCCCGCAGCGCTGGCCTGGCTTCCTTCCGCAGGGCGCCCGGTGGAGGGCTCGAGCGGGTGCCTGGGGGAGGAGGCGTTCCCGAGCCGTCTGAGGATTTTGGGGCCCACAGCGAGCCTTTGAATGGGACTCAGGAGCTAAGTGGGTTTCAGAGCAGTCCTTGAGGCAGCTCCATGCGCAGCGCAGGCCAGCAGCCCCACGGGGGGGGGGGGCACTCCTGCGCGGAGGACTGTCACCAGCCTGCCTTTGCGCAGCGGCAGTGGTGTCCGCCTGGGCCGATAAAGGCGCTCATGGCCCCGGGCAGCGGCAATGGCTCCTGGACCCCACTGGGCCGCGTGCCTGGCTGTTTGGCAGAGGGGGGCCTTCCCTGGGGCTGACAGAAGCTCCACCTTCTCATCCCACCTGGGAAACAGTGCAGCACCCCCAGCAGCCAAGCGGTTGGGGGGCATCGGGGAGCAGGCGCCGTAAAGGCAAACGGTTGCCTTGGGGTGCCTGCTCTTGCCGTGGGGCAGCTGCGGAGGCCGTGGGGCACATCCCTGCACACGAGGCTCTCGGACGGGGCGGGAGCGCTGCGGGGTGGCGCGCTAGAGCTCCGGGCATGGCAGCCGCCTTCCCTGCTCGTTGGTCATTCCTGGGCCAGGTGCCGCCGCCCCTTCTTGCGGCCCGACTCTCCCCACCCGGACTGCCGCACAGCCGCGGGTGGTGGAGGGTCTCCGGGCAGCCCCTTCGCCCTTCTCCTCCTGACGGCTCAGAATGAACCGAGTGCGCTGAGATAATTTGCACATCCGGCCCGTCGGCGCCGCCCTGCCAGGGCCTGCTTTGGCTGTGCGGCCAGCTCTTGAGAGATTTGCGTTCTTTAGGAAAGCTTGCAGGGGGCCAAATGGTCCAGAACAGAGCAAAGTCATGAGCTGAAATTTCGGGGAGGGGAGAGGGAGGGGTGCCAACAGCTGCTGTCGCCTCCCAAAACGGACTTGCTGGCAGATGGGGGCTGGCCCTGCTCCGCAGCCCCCGCGGCTGCTTGGGCAGGGAGGCCAGGCCAGGCCAGGAGGCCAGGGAAGGGCAGGGCAGGGCAGGGGCTTCTCTGTGCTGGGCCCGCTCCATGAGCGCGCTCTCGTGAGGAAGCCAAAGGCTCGAAGGGCAGTGGAGGAGGGCGGTGCCGGCCGAAAGCTCCGGGGCCTGGAGGCGGCACTGCTGAGCACGTCCGTCTTTGACCTGCTGCCCTCTGGAGGCTTTGGGCAGTAGATCCCATCACACACACACAGCCCCCCCCCCCCCGCACCTCCCTCGGCCAGTGGGGATCCGGCCCCACGTGCCGGTGCCTGTCCTGTCCTGAGGGAGGGTGGGGAGCTCAGAGCAAGACGCGGCTCCTCTGGAGGGACCGAGCGGCCGTCAAGGACAAAGAGGGTGGCTGCGGCCCCCCAGTCTGGAGCGGTGGGAGCCCCTTGAGGTGGTCTTTACAGGGCTGCGCCATAGGACGAGCGGGGGTCCTCAAAGGGGCCCCCTGCACTCGGGTCAGCCTGTCGGGGTCTCACCGCTGGGAGGGCTGCTGTCTGCAGCCCTTGCCTCCGCTTGGTGTTTTAGGGTCCTGCTGTCTTGGAGGGTTACTTTCTCGTGCCCCTCAGGCCTTGTTCTGGCGGCACAGAGGCGAGGTGAACAGTGGGGCCATGCGCAAGCGGCTTGGCAGCAGTGCCCGGCCAGTGCCTTGCCCAGCACATCGGCTCCAGCCTGCCCGCGGGGCCCCGCTCACCCTGGCGCTCCCCAGACGCGTGGCAGTCTGAATGCAAGGGTGGCTGAGCCAGGTGCGCACCGGCTGCGTCCGGGAGCGCACAGGCTGCCCCTCCCCTGGCGCTGCCTGCATCGCCGGAGCATCGGGCTGCCACGCTGGCCGCGGGCACTGCTGCAGCCGTCCGCACTCCGCCGGGGAGGCCTCGAGGCAGCTCCCGGCGAGACGGAGCATCGGCGGGCCACCGAAAGCCTCCGTGCCGGGCGGGCGGGCGAGGTCTGGCTGGCATTGCCGATGGGGAGGCAGAGGGGCCGCAGGGCACGGCCAGGTGGGCCCCGCAGCGCAGGCCTCTTCCGGCAAGGCTGCGGCCACCGTGCTCATGCAGAGGGGCCAGGCTGCCCCCTGGGGTCAGTCCCCAACCCCCCAAGCATGGCCGCTCTCCCGTGGGTGTGCAGACAGCGCACACATGTGCGCGGCCGGTGTGGCAGCGTCACGTGCGCCCTTGCACCCGTGTCTCCTGTGCGACAGTTCACACAGACCAGCCGTTGGGGGCTGGACCAAGAGGATGGCGGTGGGCGGCCAGGCTGGAGCAGAAGGGCCCGATGCTGCTCCAGGACCCGCTGTGGTCAGCACCCGGCCCCCGCCCCTGCTGGGGGCTCTTCACACAGCCGTGCAGGATGCAGCCCAAAGGGAAGGCCCTGTGCCTCGCGAGGGCCCTTGCTGGCAGCTTCTGCCTTCGCCCGCAGCCTCCCTGCCCCGTGGCTCCCCCCTGGTGGAGGCGCCCTTCTAGATGACCCCAAGCGGTTGTGGGGTGCAGCTTTCTGTTGTGGCGGGCTGGAACTTGGGAGTGCTCCTCGACCTGGAGCTTTCACTGGAAGCTCAGGTGACAGCGGTGGCAAGGAGCGCTTTCCTCCAGCTTCGGCTGATCCATCAGCTGCACCCCTACCTGGAGTACGACTGCCTGGACAGTGACACACGCGTTGGTGACTTCCCGCCTTGACTTCTGTAACGCGCTCCATGTGGGGCTACCCTTGAAGACGGTCCGGATACTTCAATTGGTTCAAAATAGAGCCGCCAGGCTGCTGACGGGGACTGGACGTTATGTTCACATGACTCCAGTCCTCCGTCAGCTTCACTGGCTTCCCATTGAAGTCCGGGCCCAATTCAAGGTGTTGGTAATGACCTATAAAGCCCTAAACGGCTTGGGTCCTGGCTACCTGAACGAGCGCTTACGTCCGTATATGCCCAGCTGCCCCTTGAGATCGGCGGGAGAGGCCCTTCTCCGGGAACCCTCCGTGAAGGAAATTAGGAGGGTAAGTACCCGGAGGAGGGCTTTCTCTGCGGTGGCGCCCAATCTATGGAATGTGCTCCCCAGAGAGGTCCGCCTGGCGCCGTCGTTATTTGTTTTTCGGCGCCAGGTGAAGACCTTTTTATTTAAGCATCATTTTAATTGTTAATATTATGCTTATTTTATCTGGCCAGGGCTACTTATTTTATATTGTTATTTCTTGTATTTTAACTTTATGTTGTGAGCTGCCCGGAGGCTTCGGCGAATGGGGTGGCATAGAAATGTTTTAATAAATAAATAAATAAATAATAAACTGTGGGGGCCTGGAGCTCCGGGGCAGCCGGGTGGGCAGCTGCAAAGCCCAGGAACTGCCCTTGCCGCCCCGCTTGCCTGGGGGACGCCGGCCCAGCTCGAGCCCCCTTTCTCGCCCGTGCAGGTGGAGCTGACGGACGGGACGTCCCACATCATCACGGACGCCTACGCCGGCAAGGAGTACATCATCCAGGTGGCCGCCAAGGACAACGAGATCGGCACGTGGAGCGACTGGAGCGTGGCCGTCCACGCCACCCCCTGGACTGAGGAGCCCAAGCACCTCACCACAGAAGCCCAGGGAGCAGGTGAAGGAGCGGGGCGGCCCCGTCGGCTGCGTCCTGCGGAGGAGGAGGCCTGGTCCTTGGGAGCCGCCACAGCCCCGCGTGGCCTGAGCCCCGTCCCCCGAGGGAGCCCGCTCCACCCTTCCCAGCCGCCCTCTTTCCTTGGCCTGCGCAGCACCCGTCTTTCACCGATGGAGCATCTTCCGCCCCTCTCAGCCTCCGCCCCCCAGAGATGGGGCGCCCTCCGTACATGCAGAGCCCCACCCTCGCTGACGGGGCCCCGCACGGAGTCCCACCGGCAACTGGGCAAGCTGGCGGGGTGTCCAGGAGGGGAGAGAGGGGAGGTGACGGCTGGGCGGGGTCTTCGGCATCCCCCACGAGCCGTGAACCCCCCCCCCGGCCTCTTTCTTGCGGGGGCTCAACCTGAGAGGAGAAGCAGAGGCCGGAGGAGCTGCCGGGCAGACGGCCCAGAGCTGCCACCCGTGGCGGCTCGTGGGACGGTCGCACTGGAAGGGGCCAGAGGGCCCCCCCTGCTCGGCTCAGGACCCCACACGCGAGCGTCCCTGACCGGCGGTGCCGCCCTCGCTCCTTGGCTCCGTGGCTGCTCCGTGGCTGGCCGGACTGGGGGCGGTGGCTTGGCGTGGGGCCCTCAGCCCCCCAGAAAACAGGTTCCGGGCACAAGCCGCATCCTAGGGGCCTTGCCGCCACTGATGCGCTGAACAAGGGGGGCGGGCGGCCCCTGGGGTGTGCCGGCGAGGAGGAGCCTGAGGGAGAGAGCCTGAAGGCTCTCACAGCGAGGAAGGCTGGGCCCTCCTGCCGGTCGCCCAGAGTGCGGGGCACGGGACAACGGGTCTCAGGCCCCCGGACAGCCAGGGTGGTGCGGCCACGGAGCCCTTGGCCCGGGGGGCTTGGCCTCTCCCGCCTGGGGGACACGCAGGAGGCAGCCAGGCGGCCACGAGAGGGGTCGTTCCGCCTGGGCTCCTGCTCCGAGCAGTGGGTTGGACCCCGTGGCCCCTTCCAGCTGTCCTATTCCATGGTGCTGGGCCAGGGGGCAAATGACCTCATCCTTCCACTGGAGCGGAGTAGGGCTGTGCGGGGCACCTCCTCTAGATCCCCCGGGCTCGGCTCCCTGGGCTCCAGTCCACTTGGCAGCCCCTGAGCCTGAGCTGTGGGCTCCCCAGCCAGTGCTTGTGGGGTGCTCCCCAGGAATGGAGCCCCACATGCTGAACAACCAGGGCCTTCTGCAGGCAAGGTGGGGGTGGGGGGCTCTGCCCCTCAGCTGCAGCCCCTCCCCTCAGGAGGAGGGACCCGTCCTCCTGAGAGGATGTGGGTTGAGATGGATAAATGGAGCCTCCACGTCCAGGGACAGTATACCTCTGAGGATGGAGACCTGGGAGGCCATCCTTGGGTGCGGAGGCAGGAGGCTGGGCCAGAGGGACCTTGCGCGATCCCGCTTGGCCGGCTGGTGCGCCAAGCCCTCTTGCCTCTCCGGGCCGGATGGGCCAGCGCCCAGTGGCCCTGCCGGCCCGGGCCAGCCTGGCAACATGTGCTCCAGCACCAGGCTTTGCAGCAGCGTGGCAGGGACCCCGCGAGCAGGGAAAGCCGCAGAGTTAACGCCACGCCATTTCTAGGAAAGAGCTGGGCTCGTGTCCAAGCGCATAACGCGGCATCAGCCGGCGGCTTCCCAGAAAGGAGCCGTGCAGCCCCCGGGCGGGTCCCCCCGGCTGGCACCACCCCACGCAGGGCTGGAAAGCGGAGCGAGGACCCTGGCCGCGACTGGGAAGGGGCTGGGAGAGGCGCCAAAGTCCCGGGGGTCATCTGGCCCTGCACACACACGGGGGGGGGGTGCAATTTATCAGCACGGCGGCCTGTGCGAGGCAGCCAGTTCCAGCATGCGCAGAGACCGGCTCCGAGGCGCCGCCACACCGCTGCCGGGGCAGCACGGGCCCTGGACCCGGAGCCGGGGCAGCCAACCCAGCCTGGCTGGCCCAACCCTGCAGCCTTTCCCACCTTAGCACCCCCCCCCCCGTTCCATTCCAGCCAAGCAGGCGAGCCGGACCCGCACTTCAGATGCCCCACTGGGCTGTCGGGGGCACGGAGGCCTCTCTGGGAGGTCCACCTGGAGACTGGCCCGAGCCCCCGGTGAGCTCTCACGCTTCAGGTCCGGCAGGCAGGATCAGGCCCGGGGATTGTGACTGGTGCGCTGCGGCACGGGGGCCTTGGGGCCAGGTCTGTCCCGGGGCGCTTCGGACCCTCCGCCAGCAGCGTTGTCTGCAGAAGTCCCGGCGGCTGCGGCTGCGGAGCTTCCCAGTGACCGCATCCCCGGCCAGCCGGCTGTCTGCAGGGGGAGAGACCGAGGCAGGGAGGCTGCCCAGCCGCTCCAAGCGGAGGGAGAGGCAAACCCGGGAAGGTGCCTGGTGCCAGCCAGACCCGGGGCCGCTGCGCCCACTCGGCCAGCCTCCTCCCCACGTGGGGGCTTGTGTGGGGGCTCTTTTCCTCCACCTGCCGCCTGACCTTTCCTCCCGTTTCTTTCTTAACCTGAGCTGCCACTGTCTGAGCTGGGCCTTTCAGTATCGGTTTGTCCCTGGGATGTGTTGCCGGTGAGACTCCTTTCAACGTGGCAAGAGCTGAGCTGCAGGTGGTGGGGAAGGAGCTATCCCCCCCCCACCCGGCTTTGCCCTTGTTTGCAGCACTGCCCCGAAAGTACAAAAGCCCCAGGAGGGGCACTTTGGCAGTGCGTGGGGCGCCCAGCGTCCGTTCTGCGGCCCTGCGGTGCCCAGGGGCTTCGCAGCACTTCACCTTCTCCCTGGGAAGGGGTCCGTCCGTGGCCCCAGCCAGCCAGCCAGGGGCCTGATGCCGGGGGATCCGCCTCAGGGTGGCGGAGCAGCAGCGGGGCAGATCGCCGGCTTGCAGCTTGAACGTTCGCCCCACTCTCATCGCAAAGCTCCTTCTGCCTTGAGCCCGTGTCAGATGGCAGGTTCTGGGGGGGGGGGGGGAGGGTAGTTTCCTTCTGCCTGGGCTTCTGTATTTTTTGCAAAACTACCCATAGCTTGTGCACATCTCTGAAATGCATAGCAGGACCCCGTCCCAACTGCCTCACTTAACCACGGTTGGCCGTGGCCCTCCACATTTGCTGGGCTTGGGGATGCAGGACCTTGGCAAATGTCGAAAACCATGAATATCTCTAAAGAAAAAACACAAATATTCCTGGCGGGGGGCAGCAAATATCTCTAGTCAAAAAAAGCAACTCTCTCTAGAGCCTTTGAGCCCACGGAGAGAGAAAGCACGGGAGGGCGGCTCGGCTCGCACCAAGCACGGTGTCCCCAGACACAGTTCCTAGAGGCACTTGCGTTGTTCTGCTTCCGTGGGCTCCCTGCGCCCCCAACCCCACAAAGGGGGAGGGCTGCCTATGCAGGATTTAGTGCTTGCTCCTATCTGTGGTTTCCGGCATTCTCTGGGGGGCTGTGGATTTGGGGGTCCTACCATGCACATTCCTCTCCCATTGATGAGAGCATATTTATGTGCATTTTTCAAAAGTGTGCATTTTGGGGATGTGCAGGCTTCCGCCACGGAGGTGCTGAGCCCAGAAGGTGCGGACTGGTGGAAAAGAACTGGAGCAGTCAGCATTCTCGGACACCCTTGGGAAGCAGCGGCGCTCTCGAAATCCCCTCCCCCGCCTCTGAATCGGGGCGCCCCCAAGGGAGAGAAGGCCCTGCAGGGCAGGCCCACGCGGCCCAGCGGTTGTGCGAAAGGCATGCCGGGCCCCGGCTCGGTCGGGCGTGTAGGAAGTGCAGTCAAAACGATGATCGGTGGCAACGCAGCTATCATCTCGGCACACACCAGGAAAGACAGCCTGTTGAGGCAAAATAACAAGACATTCGCTGTGATTTTTCTCAAAGAAATGACGGAAAACATCACGGGTGGAAGGCAGGCGGGCAGGGCGGGCGCTGGGCCGGCGTGGTCTCTCCCGCGGTCGCAGCCTGCCCCCTGCTGGCCGCCGCCTGAACGCGCAGTCGCTAGAGGACCCGGCCGCCTTTGGCTGGGATGCCGGGGTGGCCAGGGCCTGCAGTCTCATCCCCGCAGCAAGGAGAGGCCACACGGGATGGGGCCGTCTTCAAACATCCAAAACCCAAACGAAGGCGGAGGGGCACGTCTGCGCCTCAGCCCCACAGAGGAGCGGGAAAGCCCCGGGTTGTCGCTCGGCTGCTCCACGCAGGATGGCGAGATTTAATACAAGCCAGGAGGTCCTCTTGCGTCCTGGGTCGAGACGCGAGCACACGAAGCGCTTCCCCAGCAGCCAGGATGGTGCGATGCGCACCTCGGGGGCAGCTCGGCACCTCGTCCCCCGCTTGGGCCTCCCTGAGCTGGGGCCTTCGGGAAGACAGGTGCACTCACTCGGGTGCGCTCGCTCGGGGGCTGGAGGGGAGCGAGGATGGCGCGAGGCTCTGCACACCTGCCGGCACAAGGCATCCGGATCACCGCGTGGAGGTCCTGCCGGATGTGGAATGAACGGACAGAGCGGAAGGCACCGGAGGAGAAGGTGGCCGCTGCAGCAACGCCAGTCCAAAGCAGGGTGGAGGGGATCCCGAAACCCACCGGAGCTCGTGCACACTGCCCGGCACGGGCCCCTCCACACGCCCCCCGAGGCAGGAAGCCGCTCTTTCATAAGAGCCATAGATCATTCTCCCCGATGTCAAATCACTTGCTCCTGTGGGAGGGGAGCCACGTCTGCCAACCCCGACGGAGCGTGTGGCCAGCCGTCCGGAGCTGGAGCGCTCGTGTTGCCGCTCACGCAGCCCCGCTTGAAGGCGTGCGCACCTGGGCAAGCGTGCCTGCGGAGAGAGCGAGCGCAGGATGCTGGAGATGGTGGGCCCCGAGGAGAGGCCGCCATGGCAGAAAGGTCCGGCTGCCCACCAAAGCCACCGGCGGGGTGCCCGGAGCAGTGGCACAGACGAGTGCCAGGGAGGGAGCCCGTCACAGGGTCTGGATCCGAGGCCGAGGCTCACACACCACAGGAGGAGAGGCCAAAACTGCAACAAAGCCAGAGGAAGAGGAACAGTGGGTGGCGCTCCGGGATGGAAAGGCCAGGAGGCTTGGGCCAAGGAACAGGAAGCAGCCAGGACGGGGCAACGAAAAGGAAGTGAGAAAAACCAAGCAGGCCGCTTGGATGCCAGTCACCCAGCAGGCGATCCAGGACGACCGGGCAAGTGACGCCCAGGCAAGATGACGCCCAGACGCCTCCAGCGCCCCTCTGCACCAGTCCAGGCTGAAGGGGTGTGTGGGGGACAGGCACCCGCGGAAGGGGAACGGGGAGCTGGGAGCGCCCCCCGTGCTGGGCTTCCTGCCCCAGAGCGCAGCAGGCTGTGCTGACCAGCCATGGCAGCCAGCGGGAACAGCAGCACCAGCAGAACCCTCAACGGAAGAAATGGAAGGGGCGCCTGCCGGGGGGGCAAGGGGGGCACCGCCCTCTCACCTGCCCCCAGTGCCAGGTGTGCTCGGGCCTCTGAGCCTGCCTGGGCGGCACTTGGGGCACGTGGGGTGCAACAGGCCTCCGGACCCAGCACAGGGCAAAGGGGGGCTACGCAGCCGGGCACTTTGCCAACAGCCTTTCCTCAAAGGCCTGCAGGGAGATGCTTGCCCAGGCGTGGGGAGAGCTGGGGTGCGCCCGCAAGCCCAGGTGGCATTTTTACGCAGAGGGGCTCCTGGGTGTGCGCAAGCAGGAGACAAACCACTCGCTCAGGTGCAGCTGTGGGGACCCTGAAGGAAGCGGCAAGGCCCCGGCACGCGGGGCAGGGGCCGGCTGGACGTCTCCAGGGACCACGCCAAGCGAGGCCCAGGCCCTTGTGCAGGGCGAGGGAAAGCAGGTGAGCAGGAGGATTCTGGGCAGCGACCGAGGAAAAGGCGACTGGCTTGCATCGGGAGCAGGGACTGACCCGGGAGAACTCTCTGATCGGCTTGAGATTCCGATCCTAAGGAAGGTCGCGGTGTTTCCTCCGCCAGGTCACGGGCTCCACAGACCCCCGGGGTGCTCCACACTCACAGGACCCCGTGTGGGAGCAGCGCAACACGGAAGACCCCCAGCGGAAATGGGCCCAGGGAACTCCTGCCCAGCCCAGGCAGCGCGGAGCAGCCATGGAAGAGCGCCTGACCCTGGCGCCCACGACGCGCCGCGTGCAGCTGCAGCGCACGGGGCGCTGCGCAGGCCATTTGCGGAGCGAGAGGGGCAGCCTGGTACGGCAAGGCCTGGAAGCTGAAGCCGCAGCCCCACAGGCCCACATGAGGGCTGGCTTGGGGCCGGGGGAGCGCAGACCCCAGGAGCATGCGCAGGAGCTCTCCCGGACGGCAGGCAGCACGAGGCAGCGGCCTGCGATCGACCGAGCAGAATACACGTCGTCCACTCAAGCGGGCCAGGTGCACCATGGAGGCAGAAGAGGCACGAGGCGCTCTCCAGCGCGGGAGGGCCGTTCAGGCGCCAAGCACGGGGCGGGGGGAGGCTGCGGGAGGAGGGCCTGCCGAGGCAGGATGCTGCCCACCAGAAGCACGCCTGTTGGTGGCCCGTGAGAGCTCTTGCGAGAGCCCGTTTCTGGCGCCTGCGAGCAGAGGGGCCTTCTGCGGGCTCCTCCCCGTGCGGCCGAGAAGGGGAGCTGCAGAAACCGACCCTGCTTGGGGCCCGCCGCCTGAACCTGCCGGCCGGTGGACAAAGGGGAGCTCGCCTCCTCCCTCCCTCCGTCTCTTCCTGTGACGCCTCCTTGATGTGGATCGTGGTTCCGGCGCTTTCCCCTGCCTTCTTCTCCAGGCGTACTTTGGTTTGAGTGGCTCAGCGGTGACGACGGCGGCAACCGCTTCCCGGACAGGGTCCGCGTTCCCCCGCCACAGGGCGGTGCCTGTGCCTTTGCTTTCGCGGCCTTGCCTGGCACCGGCTGCACGTGGAGCTGCCCTGCGGTGACGCTCTGAGCAAGTGCGGCTCTGGCACGTGGCCCCGCGGTTTTGCCTTTGGCGGCAGAGAGGTGCATCCTGCCTCCCCTCGAAGGGGCCTAGGGCAGCGCACCCGATTCCTCTCCTCTCCCCGCTCTCCAGGGTGGCCCTGCAACAACCCTGCGAGGCAGGCTAGGCCCAGAGCCAGCGCCCAGCCCCAAGTCGCCTCGTGACCAAGGGGGGCTGGAGCCCGAGGCCGCTCAGTCCAGCCGCCCAGCCTGTGCCCCCACCAGCGCTCCAAAGCAGAGGCGCAAGACTCCCAGTGCTGCAGCAGCGCTCAGCTGGCATGGAAAGGACGTGCAGCTGGGGAGAGCAAGCGGGGCTGGGGGCAGGTGGCCCGGGGCGCAGGCCTCTGGCAGGGAGCGTGGCCACCCCGCCCAGACACGTGGGCTTGGGCCTCGCCTCCCCAAGCCGCCCCTGGGCGCCCCTTCTCGGGGCTCGCTCAGGAGGCCTCCTCAGCACCGCCCTCCTCACAGTGGCTCAGCATCAGGGCCCCTCCTGCGTTGGGCAGAGGGCGGCCCCGGCCCCGGCAGGGCATCCCGGGGTGGCGGTGCGCCTGTGGACCGGGCAGCCTGCCCGTTCCTGGGGGCTTTGGCGGGGGTGCAGGATGCTGCCCCACGCCCAGAGGGATGCTTCTGCCGGCTGGGGGCCTGTGCTCCGGGCCTGGGAGGGGGCGCCCTTCCCTCTCCTCACCCTGCCAGGCTCCCAAGCCCGGCACATCACGCCACGGCTGCCCGTTCGGAGATGGGAGGGCCGCAGCGTGGCAGGGGAGCCCCGGTTTGCGCCCAGCAGGTCGGCCAGGGTCGCGGGGAGACGAAGCCTTGCGGGAAACCCTGTGGAGCCAGTCCGGCCAGACGCTCCAGGGCCAGGCGGGCAACGGGCCTGGGCAGGAGGGGGCGGCTTCCCAGCGAACCCTTGTCCAGCACAGGGCCGGAACTGGGTGGGATCTGAGCTGCCGCCCAGCCGTTCCCCGGCCTGCGAGCACCTTGCCCAGAGCTTTGCGCTGCGGGCTTGGCGCTCCTGCAGCACCGTTGCAGCCCTGATCCGGCAAGAAGCGCCTGTCTCCAGAGCCAGGCAAATACTGGAAGGCTGCAGGGAAGCCTCTGGGCTGAGCAGCGGGGGGGTGGGGGGCGGGGGGGCGGTGTTTTCTCCAAAAATGTGTAGACCACGTGTCCACACCAGGGAGCCTCCCTGGCACCCCTGTGGCTTCTGGGGGGGCAGGCGTTGTGCAGGCAGGCTGGGGTCCCCGCACTGCCTGGTGGAGAAACAGCAGCTGCGCCCAGCGGGTCCCTTCCAGCCAGCAGCCACCCCCCGCACCAGGGCCCGGCGTGACCCCCTGGGGCCGGCGCCGCAGAGCAGGGGGATGCCCGGCACTAACCCTCTTCGCCTCCCCTGGCAGAGACCACCACGGCCAGCACCTCGGCGTTCGTGGTGCCCCCCACCACCCGGATTGACAGCTCCGACGAGGCAGGCAGTGACGGAGCCGCGGCGCTCTCGGTGCTGCTGGGCCTGCTGCTGGGCCTGTGCGGCATCCACCTTATTTAGTGAGTATGTGCCGTGGGGAGATGTGGGGCGGGATGGCGGGGCAGGAGGACAGCTGCCGTCCCCGCCGCGCCCGCTCGACGCCACCCCAGGGCGTGTGTCGCACGTCCCCTCCCCAGCCTTTGGGGCGCCCTGCCGTGTCTTCTGGCTGCCCCCTTCGCTCAGAGCGTTGTGGGGCATCGTCCTCCTCTGCCAGCTCTCCACCGCCGCCCTAGTGCCGGGCTGGCTGTGCCGCACCTGCGGACTGGCCGAGGCAAAGGGCCTGAGAACGGCCCGGCACACGGGCCCCGGCGGGCATGAGCCGTGGGGCCGCAGCAAGACAGGCTGCGGCCCTCGAAAGCAGCCCACGACTTCGCCCCGGTGGCTTTTCCACTCCAGTTGCAGGCAAGGGAAGCCCAGACGTGCCCGCTGGCACGGCTGCCAGCCGCTTTCGCCCACCGTGTCCCCACCCAGCTGAGGGTCTTTTTCCCCCTTTGGGAACAGGGTGCATTTCTGATTGGGAAAAAATGCTCCCTCAAAATGCCCCCTTCCCCCAAAAGCGGAGGTGTGAAGCTGTGCAGAGGGAGTGCGCATTTGGACAGGTGAGCCTCTTTGAGCACAAACGCGAGCTTAGGAAATGGCAAACTTTTCGTGCGAATTGCACTGCCGCTCGCCTTTGTGAGCAGGACAAGCCTGCAAGATTTCCGAACCGGAAGACAATTCCCAAACATCCCTCTGGAAGCCGGTTACATTTGCCGTTCCGTGCCTGTCGTGGAGAAGCCACAGCCCCGCGCTGCGCGGAGTCTCTCCTTCCGGGCAGCGCACCGCGAGCGAGGCCCTCCCTCAGCCCTCTCTTTGCCCGCAGACGCGGCCTCGGAGCCCACCGTGGAGGTCACCAACTCGCCGGAACGTCTGTCTTTGCTTCTGTTTTGCACATGGTTGGAAGGACGTTGTCACGTTTCTCTTCATTGGTTCACTTCCGGGAAGGACGAGTCCTGTAAACACAGAGGCCCCCCGGCCGTCCCCACGCACCCGCCGCCCTCCCCGTTCCTCCACCTTCCCCGCATCGAAAGCTGGACCGAGGAACCGTCGAAGGACGAGGAAAGGCCCTCGCACAAAGCAGAAGGACACGGACCGACCAGGGCGCAGGCGGGGAGACGGCAGGCGTCCCACCGGAGCCCGGCGGGGGCAGTGGGAGCGCCCTCTGGCCTGGCCGTGGGGCTCGGACCACACAGCCCAGCCACCATGCCAAAGATGCTGCCCCAGCCCACTCCGCGCCCGCGGTGCCCGGCGGCCAGAGGTGGGCACGTGCCGGGCGGGACGGCAGGGCGGGGCAGCCTGAGCCTCGGCCCCATGGAGGGGGCAGCCCACGACGCCCCCCCCCCGCCACTGCTGCTGCTACACCCCCCGACTGTGCCCTCTGCCAGCACAGCAAGGACAAGGGACGGGGCCCCCGGCGTGCCGCTGCAGCCCCCACAGGCCAGGGAGCCGCCGGGCGGCTGCGCACCAAGAGCGGGACGGGTGGCCCTCGCCTTTTTCAAGACGCCGCCTGCGCCCGGACTTCACAGCTTCCCTTGCCTCCCGGACTGAAGCGAGGGGTGGTCCTGGCAGCCGCCCCCTCTCCGTAGCCGTGCCAGCGCCGAGCAGCCGGGGGACCGCGGCGGTTGGTGCCGGCCGCCCTTGCGGAGGGCGTGGGGTGGCCGGGAGGGACCGCAGCCATGCCGGCCGGCCTGCCCGCCTCCCCTCCGGTCCTCGCCCCCTGCCCCGGTCCTGTTTTGTAGCGCCCGGTCCCCTTTCCCCGTCCCCCTGGTTCAAAGTGCAGTCTTTAATACCGTGCGTCCTATTATTCCAAATGATAAATACGCTGTATTTGAACTTTTTATAGATGTATATACAAAATTTTAAAATCTGTCTCTCTCTCTCTCACACACACACACTCTGAGGAGAAAAAAACAGAGGGTAAGGCTGCTCATTAAATGTGACCATTTCATTACGGCTTGTGTGAATTTGGAGTTTGTTTTAGGGCTCAGGAGCCTCCCAGACAGAAGCGGCCGCCTGGCCAAGCTGCCTGGGTGGGACGTGGGCGCGAGGGCCTGTGCTGGGCAAGCTGCTCAGAGAGGCTCGATTTGGGGGACGGAGCAGCCGAGGGGTTCCCTGCCCACCCGAGACAGCCAAGGGGGCAGGCCTGGAGCGGCAGCCTTGGCGACTGCCCGCTTTGGGAATCGGCTCCTGCTTGCAGGCAGAAGGTGGCCCTCCCCACAAGCAGCCCTGGGGTCCCAGCGTGGGGGGGTGAATGCGCCCCCCTCCTCCTGGGCGCAGTGACGTGTCCTGCGTTGGACACGTTCAGGTTCGCGCCCAGGCTCACCCCAGGCCCTGTGTGCCGGGCACCGCTCAGCAGGGTGAGTTGCCCCCCGGAGGGGCTGGGGGGGTCAGGGCTGGGGAAGGACGGTGCACTGCCGCAGCCACTGCCCCTGTGGCGCATGGGCTCCTTCCCTGCGTGGCCTCGGCTTCTTTCCCCGGGACTTCCGCAACCTCTGCGTCGCCACGTCCCGGCACAGGACGGTAGGGTGTTGCCCGGCCTGCAGGCCCCTGCCCCAGCCCTGTGCCGCGGAGGCGACGTCGGCCCCAGGGCTGAACTGCGGCGTGAACGGATCTCGCTCTCAAACCCCACGGGGCAAAGCTGCAAGTGGGTTTCGCCACCGTTTCCCCTCCAGCGGCGCCGCTTTTTCTTCACTTCCAAAGGAGACCCTTGTGGTCAGGTTGGAGGGCGCACGCTTTCCAGCCATCCCCTGAAGCTCCCGCCGGGCCAGAGAAGGGCCTGGGGCCGCTGCCGAGGGGGCACAAGCGGGCCTTTCAGAATGGGGACTCGGACCCGGGGGGCGAGATGCCACGTGCCCCAGTAAGACCTTGGAAGCGAGCACAAATGTTGCCCACCTTGCCGGCCAGGCGGAGCGGAAGAGCGGCTCGTCGGAGGCCTGGCGTGGCCTCTCCCGCTGAGTTCATTCTCTGATGGGAGAGGGGGTCCATTGGCCCTGGGGGGGGGGTCCAGCCGGGGGCAGGCCGGCGGCTCACGAGATGAGCACGCGGCTCGCTCAGCAGGCAGACGACAAGCGTGATGGCTGGCTTGTGTGTCCACACGCCGGGTTGCTCTCCCGGCTCCAGTGCAGTGGCCGGCCAGTAGCCCCAGTGGCTACCCGGGGCTGCAAAGGGCCTTGTCAGGCGGGTCCCAGGCCCAAGTCGGGAGCGAGGGCTGACTGGCAAGGCTGCTCCTGCTTCAGGGCCACCGGCACGGCCCCCAGAGCCTGGGAGGGGCTCGCCACCCAGCTGGCCCCCGTCACGTGCGGCGAGGGGCCGGCTGCCATCCCCAGTCCATGGTGGGCAGCCGCTAGCCCTGGCAGTGCCCGCGGGAAGGGCCCCTGGATGGCCCCCGTGGCGAAGGGGGAACTCCCCTGCCACTCCGCCGCGTTCTTTTCCCTCCCACCGATGAGCACTACAATGTTAACGGCGCAATAAATTCTGCGCCAGGCCCTAATTAATTCCTAATCCCGACTTCCTGAGCCCCTCTGCGGGAGGGGAGGGCTTTGCTGAGGGGCCCTGGACAGGAAACATCCCTTTCCCCGGCTCCGGGGGAGTCCCTGCAGCTTCCTCGGGCCAGTGGGAAAGGCCCCCGTGCGAGCCAGTGGCCCGTTGCCCAGGCCTGGAGAGTGTCATTGCTCTGTCGCCAGGAAGGCCCCCTCCTCAGTCGTCCCAGCGAGCGGCGAGAGAGGGGGCTGCCCTGTTTCTGCACACGTACCCTCCGGAAAAGGTGCTCTGAGGAGGGCCACAGACAGGTCAGCCCCCAGCCCAGCTCCCACGGCGGTAGGGGCGGCAAGGGAGTGCCTGGAGGCCACCCTGCCCTGCCCCCCGTGGACCGGAGCAGGCGACCCTTCCCAGGCCAAACCATTCCAGACGCCGACCCAGACGTAGCAGATCCCCTGCACTCCTCACTCGTCAGACCTCGCCTGGAAGGCTGCATGCAGGTCTGCCAGCACGATTTAAGAAAGATGCAGGTAAATCAGAAGGGGTCCAGCAGAGGGCAACAAAAATGATCCAGAGTATGGAAACCCTGCCCCGTGAGGAGAGACTGGGAGAACTGGGCATGTTCAGTCCTGAGAAGAGAAGACTGAGGGGGGACACGGTGTCCCTCTGCAAGTCCCTCCAAGGCTGCCACAAAGAGGAAGGCCAAGATCTCTCCTGGCCAATCCCAGAGTGCAGGACACGGAATAATCAAGTCAAGCTGCAACAACCCAGGTTCAGGCTGGACATCAGGAAGAGCTTCCTCACTGCCAGGGCCCTACGGCAGTGGGACCAGCTGCCTGGGGAGGAGGGGGGCTCTCCCACACTGGAGGCATTCAGCAAGGAACCGGGGAGCCCTCTGAGAGGGATGATGGGACTTGGTGTCCTGCACCAGCAGGGGTTGGACCCAGTGTCCTTCTTGGCCCCTTCCAACTCTACTATCCTATGATTCCATGATAAGTGCACCTTGTCTGGCTGGAAGGGAAGTTGGAAGCCCCCCTTCTCACACTGCACTCCACCGTTCCAGTCCCAGGCAAAAAGGGCCACGAGCCAGAGGTTGCGGATGGAGAAGCACAGCCCACGATGCTTCACCTCCTGGCATGCAGAAGACCCTGGGGCCGCGCCCCAGTCCAGGGGGATGTTGAGGCCCCGGGCTGGCAAGAGCCTCTCCCCCGCAGGCCTGGACCGCTGCCAGTGACAGGGGCCCGCACCCAGCCAGATGGACCAGTGGCTGGACTCCAGGGAGACGTCTCTCCCGCATGCGCCCTGGTGGAGCTTCACGCTGTGTCGGGGCCTGCAGCACCAAGTCAGGGCTTCCGGGGGGCTCAGACTTGGGGGGCCGGGGCAGCTGCAGCAGTCACCAAAGGCGAGCAGCAGACATACCGTTTGAGAGACGATGTATTGCTGCTGTGCTTCAAGCTCGCCATTGTATTCTCTGATGTACTCACATCTCACCGAACCTCTGCAGATGCTTCCAGGAGGTACCAAGAGCTGCATAAACCCCACCCACCAAAGAATCCGCACAGCGAAGCCGCCATCTCCGACCACGACCCGTATTCTGGCAGAGGCCGGCTGTGGCCATCTGGAACCTGGCTCAGAGCGGGCTTGCTTGCTCCTCCAGAGTCTGGAGAGGAGCAAGGCCAGCCCGGAGCCTTGGCGCGGCCGGGGACGGAGTTCAGCTCGGTTCGGCCAGACGTCCAGCCCCTCCGAACATTCCACTCGGCGTTCCTTTGAAAATGAGCCCTACAAAAAACGGGAGATAATGAGGGGAATGGGTCTCTTGCTGTGTGCTGTTGGAATAAATTCCTTTACCACAAGACTATGTGAGAAGAATTTTTCCAGATTTCTTCCTCCAAGCGCCTTAGGGAAAATCGAATTTCGGTGTTTCTTCTCTTGCAGAATTCTGTGTCAGTGCAAAGGCTGCACATTTCCACAACTGGGCAAAAGCCCCGGGCAGGATCCCAGCTTTGCACCTTTTCTAGGGCAACACACATGCGCGTTCATCGCCATCGCCCGTCTGTATCTGCGCCTGCCCCTCCCTGCTCTACTTACTCACAAGGAGACCTCCCAGCAAGACCTGCCTCCAGGACTTCAGACAATTAGCTGGCTTCTCGCAGGCTGCCTCTTAAATGCCCCATTACCAGGCGACATGGCTTCATCGTTTATTAATGTTTCATTAGTGTTGAAAACATCTGGTAATTAATTATGCACTAATTATAGATTCATGGCCCTAAAAGCCCGAGTGATTTATAACAGCTGACGGCTCTCCGGAGGGGAAGACACATGACTCTTGCTAATGGGCCGGCCTGATGAGTCACGTCTGCCGGGGCGGCAGGAGCCGCAGCTGCAGCACCGCCTGGCCCGGGCACGGGCCTGCTTGCCGGGGAGGACCGGGTGCCCGCGGGCCGGGCGACTGGTGGGCCGAGACAGGTCCTGGCCCGAAGCCGCTCTGCCGCTTGGGCAGAGCCAGCCCCGCCGGCAGGAGGGGAGCCGAGGAGGAGCCTCAGCCCGACCGACGGTTCGCTGGTCTAGGCAAGCACGAGCCGCTGCAGCCTTCCAGATGTGCTGGGCCGCCATGCCCCGAGCCTGGGAACTATTGTGGGGGTTGCATCTCTGGCACATCTGGAAGGCACGGGGGGGGGGACCCTGCGCCGCCCTTCCATGCAGCAGCAGCTGCGCGGTTCCGCCTTGCAGCGTGGGGTGCTCTCTGCGGGGACAGGCGCCTGGCCTGCACCCAGGGCTCTGCATGCACAGCGCCTGCTTGGGCAATGCGCTGTGCCCCTCCTGGGGTGGGGGGGCTGGCGGGCCGCTCTTCAGAAGCAACCAGAGGTGCCGCGCATTCCAAGGTCCGGCCCCTGCAGGGGGAGACTAGGCACGGGAAGCGACACCAGCGAGGGAGGGGCCCCCCAGAGGGGTCCTGCCAGGGCACAGCGCTGGGTCTCGCCACCCCGGGGAGGACGGCTGAGCGGTGTCAGCATCCCAGAATCTCAATTTGAGAAGACTGGGAATAAAACTCGGGTTCATGGGAAAGACCAAGCGTCCAGACCATCTGAGGCTTCATTGTTTTACCCCCAAGGTTCCCGCAGTACACTCAGGATAATGCATGCATTACCGGGCAGGCAGAGGGGGACTCTGCTGCAAAGCTTCAACACCATTGCAGGGCATTTATAGGTACACAGGTACAGGGCAACTGATGACAGAATGCAGAGATTACATTAAGATTCTGAGGTCATCACATACAGAACAGATAAAGGAATGTCAGTCAATCACACTGTAACAATGAGATCGCAATATTTCTAATTGCCTGTACTGACACTTTAGTTGAGTAACTTGAACCCATCTCCAGGTCTGCTCAGACATGCAAATTCTAGCTACTAGAAACTGTTTATGATAAGCGCAGACTCTAAACATTCTGCATGATCAGGGCACATGAAGCCC